CTTGCCATTTCTGTACCCCCCCCCGAAAATTTTAAAGAACTTCAAGAGCAAGTGACTTGATCTAATTAGGTACCGTTGTCTGCAGCAGGTGACTTCTTCTATTTTCTACATCTCTGCTAACAACATGAAATTTCACTTGAGATGAAGGGGATATTTATGATACAGCCCAGATAACTTACCTTCCACCTGTGTTGAGTGTTTTCTTTTTAGATATTTAAGTCTTATCCTGTCCTAGAAGGTTTGATACTGCTGTTAGTAATCAAACTTGGCAGTTAAGGATTTTCCTCTTCATTCTAACTCCTTTTTTTCCAGTAATCAGAAAATCATAATCCTATAAGTTTTGAAAAATCATCACACTAGAAGGAAGTTGTTATGGAAAGCAAAGAAAAAAAACAAATGGTGCGTTTCTTTGATCTGTAACAATACATATTAATATTTTTTTTAAAGAGCTATACTTAAAATATAAACTGTCAATTAGGCATCATGCTTTCAGCAGCCACCAGAGGGTGCTTTACCACTAAAGAGCCATAGACACAGCTGAGTGATTTGGCTGCTTCTGTGGACAAAACCTAATGATATAATGACCCTCTGTGGATAAAAGGTGTTGTATCTTTTGTGTGTCTGTCTGACTTCTGCAGTGAGGCATAGAAAAACAAACCTTTTGCCACCCCCAGCACCACCACTATGTGCAAATAGCCAAGCATCTTAAGTAAGCCTTGGGAATACACTTCTGACTTGCAACTTCCTTCTCAGGACTCTGCTGGACAAATGTCCTTTTCAAAAGCAGTATGGTGCACATGAGAGGTCTTGGGCAAATGTGCCACTATCACTGGTGATCTGGCCCCAGACTCAGGTGACCATGTGTTGTATTATAATCCTCAGTTTGCCAAGTGATCTTGGCTGAGAGGATGGTATTCCCCAAGTCAGGCTATCAGAGTTGGTAATGTGGGCAAAGCAGCAGATGCTACCAGATGAGCAGGGTATTGTGCTAGGCTTTGGACACTGCATGTGAAATAGCTAAATACAGTGAGCTAAATAGTAGTTTTTAAAACTCACTTTTTTGGGGTTTTTTTTTAACATTAATTCACACAAAGTAGCACTTAGCAGTCACTGCTATAAATGTATTAATTACAGTGGCACTGCCCAAAAGGCAATGCTACCACAGCTTTGGCCAATCTGTAGACTTGTCATTTATGTATCTGTATTGTCTGTGCTCGGAACCCTCAACAACTGCCCCCAAAGAGGGAGCCTGGATTTTCTTGTGTTTACTAGGTGAGTTTATGTGGAAATATTCTGGCTGAAGCATCATGCAGTAAATTGCTGATAAATGACTTCCATCTGGAATACACTTTGTCAGCAACTTAGGAAGCCATGCAGATTTATTTTCAGAAAACTCAAACTACTTTTTGGACCCATTACCCTTGTGCCAACTAAGTAAAATCCCATCTTATTCTATGCGAGTCCTGAACTGTAGCATAAAGGAATTCACAAAACACTTGCAGGAATTAATAACTGCATTCTTGCTCTTATTATGCAAAGCCTTATTAGAGCAGAGAAATTAAGGTTTCCATAAATTATGGTACCAGAAGGTCCAGTGCGTCTGGCTTCAGTAAGCCCTCACAACAGCAGCACAAAGAGGATCAAATATTCCAGGGCTCAGACTTTATCCTTCCCTCATCCAGAGATAATTCAAAGAGATGCTCTTCATTAGGGCCATTGGCAAGCTGCCTACAATTGCTTTTTGGGGCTGCTGTGAGCTTAATGATGTAGAACAATGGCTTTGCTTCTTGTTGCACACATACCTCATTGTACCTTTAATCACATTAGAAAAACAACAACAACACATGAACTTGCCTGGTCATTACAGGGCATTGCAAGGAGGGCAGACTCTCCATGGTCAGCACCATGGCCATACATTTAAAGGATGCACCAGGATATCGGAGACATTTGAGTACTTTCTAAAGAGAAGAGAAGCCAAGCCTTCTGCCTGCTCTGGGGGTTGTAAGATCACTTGTGTACAGTAGTTCTTTGTGCATTTATGATAACTGCAGTCTCCTGGGTGGGGATCTGGAAACAGGACCTGTACCTAAGTTAGCAGATGCTTCTTGCTTTGGAAATGTTTAGCCCTGGGTGATGTGAATACTGATGAAGGTGAAAGGAATGGGAAGTAGGAAAGGAAGATGCTTCAAGGTTATCAAGGGGTGCAGTCTTCTACTTGGATAAATTGGAACAGGAGATCACATGTTCTGGGGGTAATGAGCTAGGGAGCCTCCTAGCACTGGGGCTAGGGCTAGAATCCAGCTAGGGGAAGTTTCAGGTAGAAGGGACTATAGGGATGGACAGGTGTGTGGCTCTGTTGTCATGGCGCCTGTGACTCCATGGGAAGCCCAAACATCAGCCCAGCAGGGTCCTATCAGGACAGAGGGAGGCCAGTCTGTGGATGCTTTGCCTGGAAGGTCTTTAGATGGAGGCCTGGAGGAGGGACAGGTGTGGTACACCAGGCAGTACTGTTCCTTCCCTCTAACTCCCCTCACATTGACCAGAAACTCTGTACAAGGGTAGCCTTTGCTAATTCGATTAGGTAACAGAGAAACAATTCTCACTGGGACTCAGGCTTCAAACTAGCACTTGTAACTAATACAGTCCCCTAGCCTCTACAAGCAGATTTTCAAAACGACAAGGAAAACATAAAATTGCAACAGTGTCCACTGCCACATCTCCAGCACTGGGGACTGTGAGCTAACTCTGTGCCAGCACTGTGCTGAGTGCTGACCTTCCTCTTTCACGTCACATCCTCAGCAGACTTCAAAGATGAAGAAACCGCACTCTGAGTCCCATGTCTGTGAATCTTTATATAAATCATTTCTGGCAGTGTCAAAGTGAATGTCAATGACTAGCTTCATAAGGGAATGGTTCCATTTTTTTAAAAAATCACTCTTGCCTTTGTGTGCTTGAAGACCCCTGTGTTCTCAGACAGGCCCCCATGCAGCTTGTCACCTCATGAAAAGGGTTTCATGGGGCCTCCCCAAGGTCAGGGGAGAGTGGTGGGCAAAGGGGAGCACAGAGTTCCCAGGCAGCTTTCAGGAGGGACGATTTGAGAAAGACCAGGTCTTTTTTCTTCTCAGTAAAAACAGGAAAAATACAAGGTCAACTTGTGCCTTAAAATTGTTAGTTCTAAAAAGCAAAAAACTTTACACAGTGACTGTGTCTTGCCAGAAAATTAGATGTACATATTTGTGACCCTTTCTACATCAACCTGTTGGCTAGTTGGCTAGAAAATCCCAGGTTTCTATACTAAATACAAATCAGAATTAGCAAGTTTATGTAGTCTGGAAACTTGACTGCACACAATCTTATTTTCATATTTAATTAGCTACATGCAGTACTCAATTAGATGGGTTTACTGCTGTAGAGAAAGCAACTGTGAGTCTGCTGAAAATCAGCAGGTTCATGGTATGATTAAGTATGGACAGAGCCAATGGCAGTTAATTGGATGAATATAAACTTGACCTCCACGCAGCAGTGCTGAACCTGGCAAAGTTTTCCTGCAAGTAGGAGTAGGTTTGCTTAAACAACCTATCAATTCCAAAAGTATTGTTGGAGAAGCTTTCTACATTCTGAATTCATTTAAACAGAGCAAGTTTGAAAAAAGAAAAGCATGTCTCTTCCCACCTTGACAAACAGGAGCTCCTTCTGGATTATGGAACCTGTCTTTGGCTGAGAATGATCACTTTTTCAATATGGGCATTAATCTGTCTCTAGCTGTTGTCTTGTCAATGAAAAATGGATCATAAACCACTCTTACACTGATAAAGAAATGAAAATGAAAAGCCTGAAGTGAGCCCAGGGTTTACCTCTCTTCTTTCTACCTGTCTTCTCTTTAGATGAAAGGCTTTGAGGGACCATAAAGAAGTTCTGCTTTTTCCTTAGGTCCAGGTCTAAGACCTGTTAGCCACCATCCCCACTTAGGAGCCCTTTTTGTGTTGCCGTGATGCTGCCCAGTGCTGTGTCCCTGCCTAAGCATTCCCACACAGCCTGCCCACCACTGTATCCCTGCACTGAGCATTCCTCCAGTGCCTTACCCATCATTGTTTCCCTAAATTGAGTGTTCCCACAATGCCCTGCACACCATTACTCCGGTATCTCCCTCCACCTTGTTTCCATGTTATATGTCAATTTGGCCTCCCTGCTGTACTGTGAACCTAAATGAGATCTTGTTACCACTTTTGATCCTCTGCACACAGTTGGTTTAGCATGTTGAATTTTTAGTGCTTGTGGGGAATGGGGAACAAGAAAAGAGAACTAGAAAGAAAGCCAGGTGTTGATCAGAACAACTATGGTTTGAACTAGGTGGTGAGTATAGAGAACAAAGGGGATGCAAGACATCCATTTTTTCCATTCAGTCAGTCAACGTGTTCAACCATCAACTGTGCACCGAGCACCACATGCTCACCCCTTGCTCACTGGCTCCACAGTGCACTTAGAAGAAAAGGAACTTCTGACCTGTGACTCATAGCACTCCAGGTGCTGTGGCCACAAACCTCATACCATGCTTGTCTGCCCTGGTTCTGCAGGGCTCTTCCCATACCCAGAACCTACCTCATTCCTTCCCTCTCTGGATTTCCCTGTCTTCTTTCCTCCTGCAAAGTAGTTCATGACTCATCCCTGAGGGCTCAGCCAAGTAGACCCTCTCCCTAGAGACCTCTTTGATCAAAGAAAGTCCCTTACCCTTGTTAACCTGTGGCTATTTCTTTCTTTGCTAGAACTTATCACAACTCCTATATTTATTTTATCATCTGTCTCTATCCCCTACCCCCTGAAAAATGTCAGCTCCATGAAGGTGGAGACTTTGCATTCTTCTCTGTGAAGTTTCCAGTCCTGGCACATAACTCGTCCCCATCCAGGACCTGTTTACCAAATTAATTTCTGAATAAGGAAGGTGTTAAGTAGGCCCCAGTTTGGTCTGGGAAGGCTTTTAGTAATGACAAATGAGTCCATACCCCTGGTCTCTCGTGGCGTCCATAGATCCAGCTGCATACTGCCCCGAGGCAGGTGATGGGGTCACAGGGGAGAAGACAGCCCCTCTCTCTGCATTCCTGTCACCCGCCTGCCATGGCAGGCAGAAAGAAACATATGGAACAGTGAAAAAATGCAGTTTTAATAAATGAGTTCTCTTTTGTTCATTAATAATGCAGGAGAGGTCATGGTTAAATGGTGGGTGGGGGGAGGTGGACAAAAGATACCATCAGCATCTCTGGGTGAAGGCATGCCAGGGCCCAGCCAGCCCTTGTGCATTCTCTGACCACTGTGAGATTAAGCAGGGAACATAGCATTCACTCCAAAGCCCACAGAGCCAGTTTCTAGCAGCACCACCTTCATTTATGTGACAGGTGTCATAACATTGGTGAAATGTAGTCAGGCTGTGCTGCTGAGTGCCAAGTGCTGCCCCAAGAAATGTCAGGAATGAATTTGTCCTACTTGGAGTGACCTGCTTTCCCACTTGTTCACCAAAGACATGCTGAATTATGTGTACACTGGCAAACTTTGGGAAAAGGGTCTCTTTTCCCTCTATCAGCTGCCTGCCTACCAGGATGAATTTTTTCCAAATATAGTTTCCAAATACAGTTGATTGTAAGTATAAACTGAAATAGTGCAAAAGCAAAGGAAAATTATTGAGCCAGGCATGGTGATGCACACCTGTAATGCCAGCACTCTGGATGATTGAGGCAGAAGGATCACATGTTCAAACTCAGCCAGGGCAACTTAGATTCTGTCTCATAGAAAAAAAGTTTCTTTTAAAGGGCTAGGGATGTAGCTCATTATGAAGACACTGGGTTCAATCCCCAGGGTTGGAAGGAAGGAAAGAAGGGAGGGAGGAAGGGAAGAAGAAAAATTATTTGCATCAGTGTTCTTTGATCTGCACATTGGTTTTGATTTGACTCATCTGTCGAGGAATCTCATCGTGAGAGACCATTCCTCTGATCCCCAGAACCGTGTGTCTGGGGTGTGGGGAGCCCTCCATGGGGCATGTGACAGTGATACTTGAGAGCCTTTGTCCTCAGGTGAACCAAAACTCCTAGGAGAGGCAGGATTCGGGTTCCCTAAGCTTTCTGGCAGATTTTCTTAAGTCACTGTGAGATGAGCAGGTAGCAAAGAAATTGTATCCCAAGACATTTATAGGCAGATTGAAAACCTGCTATTAATACCAAAAAATATTATTTTGCTAGGAGAACTTTTTTCAAGTAAACTATTCTATAAAAATAGAGATCATGAGTGGAAAATTGAAGGTTTTTCTATAAAAGGGGTGGTTTTCTCTCTTTAACTTATGGCTGGCTCCAACATTATCCTGTATCCTCCTTTTGGAGGATTCCCAAATTTTCCTACTCTTACTGATATTCCTTTCCCAATAGTAAATAGGAAAGGTATCTAATTAATTTCCAATAATGTGAATGATGATGGGAAGAATTCTCTTGCCAGAAGAGAACATACTTTTTAGGAAGGATGTTGTTGCTCAAGTGAATCCTAATATGCAGAACTCTAGAGGACTTCAGTTTGAGCAGGGACCTTTCTCTGATGGTGAGCTATAGAGCCATCACCATAATGACAGCTTGTGATTAATGGCCCCCATTTCTGGTTATAGTCTACTTGGATCTCCCAGCTACATAGCATTGGCCAATCTTTAGTGACTCTCTTCCTACATGTTTTTACATGTCCCAGAGGATGAACACTAGCAGGGGTATTGCCAGGTTACTCCTAGCTGCGTGGCTTTGTAGCCTCTCCCCCTGGGCATGTCCACCTCCCCACCTCCCCACGCCCACACTCCCTGGGTGTGAAGGGCATTCTCTCACATCGCTTGATTCTTTCTTTTGTGCCTGTTTGATGTTCAGCTTGTGAAGGTGATAGAATGTAGAGTGTTCGGAACCTCATTTTCACTTGCATTCTTATGGGTCTCAGCATACAAAAATTCCATGAGGGCAGTGGTTCTCATGCTGGAACTTGCACAGAACCCCCAAGAGGGCTACAAAAAACACAGAATGCTGTGGTCCTAGAGCTTAGATGCTGCTGGCCTTGGAACCACCAGGTTGGCCCTGCTGGTGCTCTGGAGATAGAGACTGATGGTGACTGGATGGGAGGCCATTTAGGGTACACAGTGGGCCCCTCAACCCATGATTTTGCTTCCTGCATTTTCAGTTGCCAGTCAGCTGGCATTATCATAGCTCAGTGGTCCTGCTGTGGACACATGGTATGGTCAGATCAGCAATCATCTAACTCTGTCACAGTGCCCAGGTCCTTCGGCATCATCTCATTTCACATCAGCACAAAGAGAAATGTGACTAGAGTATAGCAAGGTATTTTGAGAGAAACTACATGTTTTAGCCCAGTGTATTGTTTTTTATTGTTGTTCCTCTCTTGTGCCAAATTTATAAATTAAACTTTATCCTAGATATGTGTCCATAAGAAAATGTAGTATATAACGTGCAGTACTCTCTGTGGTTTTGTGTGCACTCAGGGTCCTGAGCAGATCTCCTGTGGATGTGGCTGCAAGGGCTGCTACTGTTCACCTCTTCAGTTTTACTAACGCCAAACTGTTCTCCGGCATTGTGGTAGAGAAGTTCTTGTTGCTTCATATCCCTACCAGCATCCAGAATGCTCTAACTTCCTAATTTTAACAGTGAAGTAGATATGAAGTGGTATCTCATGGTAGTTTAAATTTGCTTTACCCTGTGAATAATGTTGTATGTATGTATGTTGAGCATTTTTAGTTTCCTTTTTGTGGGCAAAGTACCCACTCAAGGTTCTGCCCATTTCTCTATGGGATTTTTCTTCTTTCTCTATTGGTTCATAGAATTTAAAAAAACATAGTCTGGATACCAACCCACTTGCAAATGTCTTTTTCCAGATTGTGGCTGGTCTTTGTATTCTGTTGATGGTGTTTCCCAATGAGCCATATCCTTTAATTTAATAGCATCAGATACACCTCTTTTTTATGGTTTGTTCATTGTGTTTCTTTGTCAGGAAGTGTGCTTTCTGCCTCCAAATCACAAGCATATATTTTCTTCCAACAGTACTTTATAAATCTGTGTAAAGTTTTACATAATTGTGTCTTTCCAAGTTACTTTTTTATATGGTGTGATGCTAGAGTCTGACTTCATTTTTTATATGAATGGATTTTCTACATATAGAAAAGCCAAACTCTCCCCTCAAGGGAAGATGCCAGTTTCTCCATGTGGCTGGAACTGTTTCTGGCCTTTATGTTGTGCTCCACTGATGTGTTCAGTATCACCAGCAGAGTGGCTGTCCTGTCGCCTTCTAGTTATGTTGTATTCCTGATGCCCAGTGGAGCAGGTGCCTGCCTAGCCCTGCCTTGTTGTCTGAGCACTCTGCTCATCCTTGGCCATTTGACGGTCAGATTGTCAGCCAGGCTGGCAAGGTGTGGTGTTGGCATGTGGACAGAGAGTTCTTTTTCTCTAAAGGGTGGTGGTTTTGCAAGTATTCATTGTAGCATTCTTCATAGTTACACAAATGTATCTTCGAAATTTTTAACTATCCACTATTTAATAATACTAAGAGGGAATCCAAGAAGGCATACATTAAAACCTCCCGTACTTCAAGTTCTGCAGGGAAGTGAATCAGAAATAATAATCAAAGATGGGGGGATAAGGAGTTGGTTGGCTGTAAAGCTCTGTAAAAAATACACATGTTGCCTTTTTTGATAGTATAAAGCGTTCCTCGGCTGCAAATGAATTCTCTCAAGCTATAGCACTCATCTCCTGCATTTGTATGTTTCTATCTAAAGAAGTCTGAAGCAAAAGTTTCTCTTTTTGTAAACACACACGAACCAAATAACACAGACAAAGCCTTACTGTTCCCAGCACTACACCAATGAAAACAGAGCTAATCTGCCAGACATCTGGGAGGCTCACACTTTCTCCCAGTGTGTTAAGCAGTTTACCCTAACACAGACACATCCCCATTCTTCCTTGAGTGATAATCAGTTATTTTCCTCTCATGCCCAAAGTGTCAGTGGTTGTGACACATAACATTAGCAGTGACATGAATTTTAATAAAAGAAAACTCTGAAGAATATGAGCCAGTTTTACTTTATCAAGCAGCTGTTTTCTGTTTGAGGAGTCTCACAAATGTAGAGAAATTACAAACCTTCATCATAATATTTTACTTGGCATCAGGAGATGAAAACTAGCAGGTATACCCCTCCCAGAGTCACAGTGGTACTTTGCATCTGCATAATGTTCCATTTTATCTAGTTATAAAATAACATAAGTGATGTGTCATGCGTGTACTATACATTTTACATTCCAGCTACCACATGTCACACATACATCCACATGTTCCTCTTTGGAATCATTTGTCAGCAAGAGATTCCGCTGTTTCCTTTGGCTTAGGATTTTCTCTTTTTCATTTTTCTATCTGGCAACTTTCTAAATCTACAATTTGCAGTGCTAGGCAAGATATCTGGAAGCTTTCAGTATTTTGTGTCTGGGTTGTTCCATTTGTCTGTCTAATCTCTCCCTCTCCAGTTAAGTAAACTTCTTCAAGTTCCTCCATGGATTGGAACCTGGGGGGAAGGGGCTGTCCCTCAAGGAGTAAAGGGAGGGAGGAAACTATCCATGAGAATTGAATGAAAACGTCAAGGCATCCCTTTTCTCAACTAGCCACAAGGTTTCAGGACCAACTTTATTCCCTATCCAACCCTGTTTAAGAAGCATCCAAAAGGAAGAAAATTCCAGCATTGTAATCTTTGTCTTATAATTAACAATGAAGACCAAGATGAATATTTCCAGCAACTGGCTTTGTCATGCTCACAGTAAGAGTGATAATAAATAGCTATTAGGTGTTACCTGCATTGTCCATGCCGACAGATGGGACTTATATACAGAATCCCAGATAATTCTCACACAGCCCCTCAAAGCATAGGTGCTCTTGTTATTCCCATTTTAACAGATGCCTCAGTGGAGGGTTAAACAAGTTGGCTGACTCACCTAGGGTCACACCGCTTGTAGATGGTATAGACAGGATCAAGTACAGGATGGTCTGACTCTGGGACAGTGGTGATGTGGATTTCTTCCACACACAAAGGTGTGCCTTCTCGAATTACTGGCATCAGACCACAAGATGGAAAGGAAAGTCTCTGCCATCCAGAGGCTTAATCTAGAGAGAGATGGGATGAGAAATTAAATAGCACATCAGTGTAAAGGCTCCATGGTATGTGGTTGGTCCTACTAGAAAAGCAACATGGAGGAACCCAAGCAAGAAATACTGCTCAGTGGTCCCCTCTGTAAATCGGAGGCAGTTTGGCAGATTTGGAAGTTAAATTGAGGTAGCCATATGAACCCTCACTCAAGTGAAAGTTCATCTAGTATTTATGTTAAAGCAAGAAAAGGATTTCATTTGCGAGTAAATCTCAGTCTAGAAACATCTGGTTGTTAAGGGCAGTATTTATTGAGTGCCAACAATGTACTCCACACCACATGCTTAGGGGGAGACCAGAAGCCATTTACACTGTGTTCATGGGCTAGTTCAGAAGACCTCCTTCCCTCAGACCCTCCTTTCTGAAAGGGGAAGACTTGGGGTGTTCTCATGATTATGGAAAGCTCTCTGTACCTTACCCTCTGCTTCTAAAAAACTGGAATGCAAGCTCTTCTTCCTAGAGCAGTGATGGTGAACCTTTTAGAGACCAAGTCCCAAACTGCAACCCCAAATTTGCTTATTTATCACAAAATACCAACACTGAAATTAAACCTGAGTGCTGAGGTTTTAGGTTAGAAAAAATCCATACCTTAACATCCTGTCTTTAAAGAAAAGCAAAATAACAAGCGTGCCGTAGATTTGCCACCACTGTCCTAGTGTGTTGGGAACGTCTGAGTGAGCTCTAATGTATGTGTGAGCATGCTATAAATGGGACCTTGACATTCTAGAAGAGATGGAGGCAGCAAAGCTTCCAAAATTGGTTCCAAAATTATGCAGTGAAGGTATCCAGGAAGACAGATATGGATTCAGAAAGGCCAACTTACCTGGACATCCTTGGGTATCATTGGTGCTAAGTCATTTCTTTTAAACCATGGAGAATAAGCTTTCAGGAGAAGTATAAAAGGCCAAGACTTAAATATGCAGAGGCGGAAATACACAGTACAATTGGAGAAGTGCCCTGATTTAGGTATTTATTCAAGTTCTTTATTGGATCCCTCTGGCATGCCCAATGGGGACAGCCACTAGCCATACTGCTCTGTTGCCCAAACTAACAGCATCTTGGTCCTCGTGATGCTTTCTACCCCGAGATAGAGACATTCACCATGTTACCATGTAAGTAAAAATGTACCAGTGGCAGCATGGTGGGTGGCCATTACAAGCACTAGTGGTACCTCATGGGGGCTGTGACCCAGCCGTGGTGGCCAAGCGGGGCTTCCCAAGCCATGGCAACATGGCTGCGTCAGCCAGGCTGAGGCCCCAGGGCAGAAGGACTAGGGATTTAAAGGGAAAGCATTTATTTCTAATACTGTAATGCTCATATGTCTGTATGTCATCTTGTGTCGAGAAGGGACTGTTTCCAGGGGTGATCCCAAGTTTGACAAATACCCCTCCAGCTGGAGCATAAGAAAACACTTAAGAAAGCATAAAAATGCTGTGTAGATAGTGGTATAGACTCTACAGTGTATATTTAAAAGAAGAAATGTTTAGGAAAGGCAATGAAAATATTAACCACATCCCCTCCAAACTAAAAAACTATCAAAAGGAACATGTGTTTTCCAGTTCTAAATTTAAAATGCATGTACATTTAGACTTATACATTTATATAAATAAAAGCTAGCCCATGTCATATTCAGATATAATTTGTGTACAAAGCCCAGGACAGCAGTTGGGACAGGTATTTGGCCAGAAATTTCCCCTGGACACACTCAGCAGATGGCACCATTCAGGACCCACTTTGCAATGAGCTCATCCATGGGGTATGAAGAAATGAAGTCTGGGAAAAGCTTAAAGAGCTTTGTATTCTGATTGAAAGGAAAAATCCCAGACCTGTACAAAAGCAGGGGGAAAATTTACTGTTGCCTGAAGCAGCACACTCTGCACTCCCTTGGCTGCTCTTTGCTGTTCCAAGTGGCGGGGATCCGTATTTTTGCCGTCAGCAATCTCACTGCTTCTTCAGAGACACAACTGCACTTTGCTGAAACGAAGCTACAAGAGCATTTCCGCCCAGCTGGGCACACTTGCTAACTATACAGTGGCTTCAGAACTATAAATGTCACTCCCATCATCTCCTTCTACCCTCTGATAACTCTACTCTTTAAAACATTTGTTAACATTGTTTTCCCAGCCTCAGGTTGGACATAATCAAGCTCACGTATGCACACTCCCACCTCTCATAAACCCCTACACTTTCCTCAGACTCTAATTGCATTATCAAGTGTTTTGTTTGGTTTATTAATTCTGTCCCAGATGATTTCCTCCTGGTAGGTTTCTAGCAAATTCTGCCCATGTCTAATAAATCATCTTAGAAAATGCTGCAGGTTTTTCTCTGTCATAAGGATTGAGTCCCCACACTACCTCCTGGCCCCTGTGAACTGTTACATTCTCCTTCCTTTCACAAAAGCAACCCTTTTTAGGTTTCCTGTTAAAATTCTTGAATGATTTGACCATGGAGGGGAGATTATGGTCAGCCCCCCAGGATTATTCCACTGCACCATTCTCTGGAACGTAGCCAAGGTCAGTCTGTCACCTAAACCATATGCAAGGTGTCCATCTCATCTACATTCTCTGCTGGATCCGAGAGTCAGGGAGATGGGTGGTATTGCTATATAACTAAATCTGAGACTGGAAAGTGAAGTTGGGAACTTTCAACTGAGTCTCCATAGGGTGAGAAAAGATTTGGGGCTCAGATCCAACTTCCAGGATGTGACAGGATTGCTGGGGTAGGGATTGAGGGGTAGTATTAGAAAGGCTGTAAAGATCCACAGGCAGCAGGGTGTGGGGTCATCTGGATAACCCAGGAGGCCCTTAGGTACCAGGCCGATGAGGCTCCTGCCACACAAAGTCACCAGTCATTCTTCAATTGATAGTTAGGGAGACCAAGGCCAAGAAAGGACCTGTGGTTTCTTTAGAAAGGTGTATACTCTTTTGTTTATCATTTGGTTTCCAGTATTTCTCAGCTGGTGCACATATGTAGGAATCTTGTGCTTTTGCCCAGTTCATACTTTCCTTTACCATCTTTTTTATTAATTTCAGCTTAGTTCAACAAACCTATCACAGGACTTCTGTAAGCCAGATGCTCTTTGCTGCTAAAATAAGGAATTATTTCACCATTCTCATTTTCCAAAATTTAGTCAGAAAAATGCAAGGATCGATTATTATAATATGGTCATACTTTAAAACCTTTCACATTTGTGAAGTCCAGCGAACAAGTCATTTGATTTCCTATTTTACCAGTGATAAATATCCTAGGATGTCATCATTATTCTTTTTGTGCCATTTGTAGACCATATTTATAATCTTTGAGAAAGAAGTACAAACTTAAGTTTATTTTGATTCATAATGGTTCTATATCTTCTCCCATTGATGTCTCCAGGGTCGGTCATTCCCACTCACTCTCATTGGATGTTGCTGCAAAGCCAATATTTTCCAGAATTATGCATTAATTCATCATGGTGACCATTAGGTGATTACATATTTCAGTGGTGACAACTTAGAATTTATTTATTCTATTGATAAAAGTCTCAAGGAAGGATCTCAGCAAACTATGAATGTTTTTGCAATTCAGTCAAAATATATCCAGGTTTATTGTGTTCAAGCCCTCCTAAATGAATAGTCATACACATTACAAATGAACTTTGAGCTGATAGGGTGGAGGGATTTTTTTTTCCTTTAGACATTTCATTTAAATTTAGAAGCAGTATCTTAGCACAGTGGAAAACAGGCAAATATTTTCTCCCCTAGCCTCAATTTCCCCCACCAAAATGAACAATTATTTTAAATTAAAAATACAGAATTTTTTCACATTTCGGAACAAACACAAAGTCAGTTTTGTGCTTTAACTTTGTATGCCAGCCAGATAAAAAATGACATGGCACCCCAAACCTCCTCAGAGCATCTCTAAATAATCCTCATCATGTCAAACACACTCATCCCATTGTTTTTGCACTTTCTGAAGCAGTTCTAGAAGTCCTCTTTCATGTGTGTCTTTAGTTGTCCTCTCGTGGCTGCCTGGATGTCCTGAATTTATTCAAAACATCTCTTTTGTGGTCATTTTGGAAAGAGCCAGAAGTCACACGATGATAGATAGTGAATAAGGTGGAAGAGGACATTCTGTAATATTTTTATTTGACAGGAACTTCTGTAAGTGTTTGGTCAACAAGGGATGGTCAAAAATACAGTGAATGTTTAAATTTAAAATCACTCTTGGCAAATTTCCAGCATACAATGTAATATCATTAACGCTGAAAGGGAACTGTATTTGATGATGGATACATTAATTTGCTTGACTGCAGTAATCATTTTGTATATATAAACACCCTATTTTATACCCTAAATATCTACAATACAAATTTTTTAAAAATTGAACTCTTCTCTGTAGCCACTAAGGGTCTGGGATCTGCATCTGCTCACCCACTCCATTCTCAGCACTTAACACCCCATTTATCCTGACCCTCATGCACATGGGCAGGTCCCCTCATAGGCACCAGGTTTTCTCCTGCCATAGGACATTTAGACATGACTTCATCTGACTGAAATACTCTCCTCCTCCCACTTGACACTAGATCATTCTTCCTGTTTGTGTTGTACATCTCTTCCTTGTGGAAGATCGCTCTGGCTGCCTGCCTCTCAGCGGCTGCAGGTTCTCCTTCCCTCCAGAGTCAGATTACCAGTATCCATCTTCACCACACTGGCAACTTCCCGGGGATGGCTCCCAGTCCTGGCTTTGCTCACCACTAGGCACACAGTCACTCTCAGCAGTTACTAGACCAATTATATAAATGAATAACTGCATGTAAAGTCCCTGAGTGTCATTCAAGGTACACAGAAAATAAAACTGAAACATGTTAGGCATTAGTATTCATTCTGAGAAGCAAAAGACAGGATTCTTCCACCAAGTAGCTTTAGTCTTTGAGGAACCTTTCAAACTCTGGACATATTTTTTGTTAGTT